GTGTTTTCGAACGTAGCAGGTAGCTCTATCTGCATCGTCCGGCTAAGGACGACCATTGGTTGCCGTTTAAAGGCGCCACTTTTCCGCCATATATTTTTACAACTCGCCACCTTTACGCCAATCGCCAAATCTAAATTTTTGTACGCCATTTCACTACATTAAGGCGCCACTTTGGCGGAATTCCGCCACACCTGGCAACCCTGGCTACGAGGGCGATGAGCGGTTTCAGCGCCTCTGGAAAGTGGACATTGAACTACCAACTAGAGAGACCAATGACAGAGAGAAGCACTGCCTCTACCAATCGCTGAAGGAGAAGGCGCAGCAGGCCTTATACACAATTGGAGCAAAATTGCCGTCCTTTTTCAATACCAGCGATCGAACTTCCCTGGAACTTCTCTCTTTCCCCGGGCGGTCGACCGAACTCAACCAATCGCTGGAGAGGACGGGACTTGTTAAAGGGAAAAGCTTGCTGTGCATATGCAGCTCTACTCGTTGCATCTTGAACCCGATATTTTTGCTCTCCACAGTAAACACGGTTATTTTACGATTAACGAACGTGATCTGGTTTCGTTTCGGTTCCAGCTAGTCTACTCGTCGTTGTTGATTTTAAAAGTCGACGAAGACACGACTGGAGCTACCGCTAACGCTAGCGTTCGCCTTGATAAAGTTCAGCGTGTCAAAGTCGTCGTTGTCGTCGTCGTCGTCGTCATCGTCGTCGTCGTCTCAGTGTCAAATGTAAGAAAGTCTTGAACATGGTCAGTTCTCTCGTGTAAGTATTTGCTATGGTACGTCAGTCTTTAATGGTAAAGGAAGTCGGTCTTTTTATTTTCGATGTAGCCTTGAAAATACAAGTATCACGAGCCCGTCACACGGATGGACGTTTCTGCGTGCATACATGGAGGGGGAAAAACGCTTGCGTGCTCGGGCCCCGAAATCCGTGATTCGACCACTGGCGGTAACGATAAATGACCGGACGGGGGTAGCACGCGTGGTCTCAGTGTTATGCCAGTGAAGTGAGAACCCGAACCGATGAGAATCCGGGCGTTGGGTCGGCCGTCGCGCGAGGAATGGCAGTCCATGGGGATGTGAAGAAAATACGATGTACTATAATTATCGCACAAACTATGATTAATTTCGCCGCCGAGCAGCTCGACGATCTGCGGACCCAGTGCTTCACCATGGCGAAGATCACCAAGCAGCAAATAAGGAAGCTGGAGGTGAGGGAGGCTCTCGAACGCTCTCCGAAGCTTTCGGGCCGTATCTCCGCGCGCGCGAAAATCAGAATCTGTCCCCGTCCGTCCACGCTGGTCGTCGTGGCCTGACGTCTCTCTCGTCGAGCGTCAACAAGTTGCGACAAGTTGCGCTGCCCCGGCGCCGTTTGGAGCCTCGAGAGCCTCTGGACTCCGTCACATTGGCGGGAATGTCGAGAAATATCGCCCCTATCGTTTACGGCAGCGTCTGTTTACATTTGTTTACATTGTACTTGAGACTAACCTTTCCGCCGTTTCCAATCTGTGCTTGAAACACTTGTGATGACATTGACAGATACAGATAGATATCTGTTAAAACTTGTGAAAGACATAGATAATGTTACCTTGAACTAATTTGGAATTTTGAGATTGATATAATTATTATTTCAATTCCAAAGATTCAATTCCAAAATCATTTAACATGTTCTTTTAATGAAAATTTATGATCATAAGAAAGTTACGGTATGATATTTGATATACATAATTTTAACTCCCGCTATAAAATGTGCATCATGTTTGAGCGTTGTATGCTTATATTGAATAAATACATTGTTTCCAGTAATTGAGAAATTTGTGATGCCATTCCATTAAAAGATATAGATAGTATTAGTTAAAATTTATTTTGCAATGTTTGACATTACCATGTAATGATTGTTTAAGATGTTTTAGTGGTAGAAATTTATAAGTTATGAAATTTATATTACAATGTCTGATATACGTAACTTTTAGGCTAATATTACATTTGTCCGTTTTTGTCATACGACAAAAATTTCTAGCTTATTGATTGACTATAGGATACAGAGATCCAAAAACTTCTCTTTCTTGCAGCCAATCAACAAGCTTGAAATGCTTTATCATACGATAAATGTAATACCATATTACATTACTCTAGATATGCATTGTGTTTGAGCATTGTATCTTTATTTTACATATATAAAATTGTAAAAATAAATAATGAAACTTGAAAATTCATATATATAATAAAAATTATATAATTTTATAGAGATTAATGATAATATCTAATATGCGTCATAATAGCTGTAATATTGAATACATTTTAAACTATTTATATATTTAAACATTTTTTGTAGGGGAAATTAATAAAATTATACGCCAAACAACTTGCGGCAAAGGCTAAATTGACCGATCCGTTACCATCAGACATGATAAAATATCCATTATTACATCAGTGGTTGCAGATAGTTGGTCTCACCCAAGACTCAATTCAGGTAACAATATATACAGATATGCAGACTATTGATTTACTTATTACAAGTTTAATATATTTCTATTTTTTACTTCTATTTATCTTTAAATAATATTAAACTAATTTCTTTTATATATATTGTTATGCATTATAATATTTTAGATGGTTTGTTCCAAAGTTAATACTCTTGAGGCCCTGAGGAAGAAGTCTAAACTTGAATTGAACAACATGTTAAATAAATATAGTATACACTACAAGGAAGAATGTCGTAGGCTTTGTAAAGCATTGGATAAATTATGGCGATACACGGGTGAATAAAATTTAATATTACAGAAAAAATTGATTTGTATAAATAAACAAAACGTATATAGTTCACTGTTTTCTTTTTGTTAGATATTTTGATAAGAGGAGGTACGGAAAGTGTTTCACATTTATACTGGGATTCTTGGGACAGTTCTCATTTACGCAAGGAAATTTATACTAAGCCAGTTCTATCTCATACCGCACGGTGTTCCATTCAAACAGAGAGTAGCATTCCATCTTATAATAACAACAATGATGCATTACCACTAGCTTCTGCATCTTCCATATCAAGTGGTTCTACCTGTTTCTCATTACCAAAGCAAGCACATAGTAAGTGAACTGAAGAAAAGATGTTTCTTTAATTATCTATTGTATTGCACTATATTCCAAAGATTGTGAATCGGTATTTAACACTTTGACTGACATATCTGGGTAACATGTAAATTTTCACTGAAGTCTTATCATTATCCTTTTCTGTGGGTGATGATTTTATTTATTCTTTATTAAGAATTTTATGTAAAACATTAAAGAAATATAAATATAAATTATATTAAGACATTAAAAAAAGAACAAAATATTAAAATAATATAGATTTAAGCTCAATGTCGAAATCAGTTTGACAGTCAGAATGTTGAAGAAAATTATACTGAAGATATTTATATATTTGATATGTAATATGTTTTTACATTTAATATTAGAATTACTAACAACTAAATGTATAAATTTTTCTTGATTATAGAATTAGATGTTAACTTACTGCCAACTCCTCCTTCGTATAGAAAACATTTAAGTAGTGTGCAGAATAGTCCATTACAATCGAATTTTGAAATGCTTCCGTTAGCTAAGTCAAAATCTCATAAATCACAATTGGCAAGTTGTCCTGATAATATACAACTTGAAAATGATGATCTATCATTTAGGTAACACTTGCAATAGTTTATTAATGTAATGCGTTTTCTATTAGTTTTATATTATATGTTATTTTAATTTTGTTGCAATAATTGTATAAATTTAATTTTAATAAAATATTTAGCTTTTGAATATACTAACATTATATATTTTTAGTTTTAGAATTGATTCTTCTACAGAGAAGAAAAGTGATTCTCCTGTAACAAGAGATCTAACAACAGAACAAAGTTCAGATTGTGGTACATTTGTTACAACAGACTGCGGAAAAGAAGAAAGTCTCTTGTCAAACAACAGTAGCCCCATTAAATCATCCATTAAATCACTTATTAAATCACCTATTGAATCACCTATTAAATCACGTATTAAATCACTTGTTAAATCATCTGTTAAATCATCTGTTAAATCATCGGTTAAACCATCTGTTAAGTCATCTGTTAAATCACGTGTTAAACCACCACCTCTAACTTGTACCACAAATGCAGAAAGTAATGATAACAATCTTGAGGGAACAGGTGCATAAAAAGAAAGAAAAGCTTGCTAGCATCTGTCCTATAAATAAATCTAATATTTCTTTGTTTTATTTTTAGAAACGAGTCCCCAAGTGCCAAATTCTTCATCTCCTAAGATATCTTACGGCATATATCATGAAATTTCTCATCAATTTACCAAATCTTTTAATATGATGACAACATGTGACTATTGTGACAAACCGATGTTTATGAATATTTTTAAATGCAGGGCGTGTAAATATAAATGCCATCGAGAATGTATACCCAAAGTACCCCATTCTTGTGGCCTATCTCCAAAAATTATTGAGGCGTTTAGACGATCTTTTGAATTGAAGGGTATGTAGAAATTTCGCAACTTTAATACAGTGCTGACTGTCTAAATGTTTTTTTTTTAAATATATTTTTTTAAGTTCTACTAAAAAGTGTCGCTATGAAGTATTTCAACAATAACAAACATTTAATAAATACCAACAGTAAGTTGTTTCACAAAAGTAAGTTATTTCACAAAAGATAAGTTACAAATGTAAATTATTTCAGATGCGATGAGTGTTTTCCCAATACTCAGGAGGCTCGGCATGACGTCTTTGAATAATGTACATTTAGTACAATTAGTATCTCCTTTGAATCACGTAGAGAGGAGACGATCATATACACAATCTTCTACGAATATAGAATTTTTTTACGTATGTTATAATTTTTATTTCATATTTTTAATGAGCTTTTTAGAATATATTATGAGTAATATATAAGTAGATTTTAACGACAATATATTGATATTTTATATTATACAACGAATCATTTTTTGTTATCTAATATAAATAGAATGATATAAAACCTATATATATATATATATATATATATATATTATTTATATTTATTAGGGCGATCCTAGTTCAAATACATTGAGAACTCACTACTCAACACCTTCTAGTCCAGCATTGATGTCAACTCCTTTTAACTACAATCCAGAAACGTTTCTACAACAGTTTGATTTAATAGGTGAATAGAGACATTTATTGTTATGATTTACAGCTTTATTCTTAGAACATTGACACATCACTTACTTTACTTTCTAGATGTACCAACACTACCGACTAAAAAGGAGAAGACATTTGAAAAAGTATATGAGAAGAAATTTAAATCAGAGTTAGCGATTTCGAATGATAAGGAAAAGAAAAATGATATAAATATAAATGATGTGAATAAATATGAAGACATAAGTTCTTGGTTAGATAATATCTCGGAATTAGAGAGAGCTCATTCTCAGGAATCTCTAAGCTTCGATGGCGAAATAGATGAAATTACATATTGTTGGCCTCGATTCAAGGAAGATGTGTGTATTATATATGTATATTTTACTAATATCTTGATAAAATATATATATCTAAAAACGTTTATATTATGTTATCATAGATAATGTCGCAAGAGTGGGATATTGTATTTGACGAATTAAAAATTAAAAGTCTGATTGGGAAAGGAAGATTTAGTAGAGTATATAGAGGTTTTTGGCATGGAGATATTGCAGTCAAGTTTTATGATATGAGTTTTTCGGAAGATGAAGCATTAAGAACATTTAGATTAGAGGTAAAAGTATATGATTATATTACTCGAAATTATTAATGATAAGAAATATTTCATGACTAGATAATAATGATCGTCGATTTATTATAGTTTGCCCTATTTCGAACATCTCAGCACGACAATCTAATAGGTTATTTGGGAACTTGTGTGAAATCTCCTCAACTGGGAGTAGTGACTAATGTGTGTAGAGGCATATCACTGTATACCCGTCTTCATATTCGAAAGGACAGATTTACTTTGGCTGAAATTAATACTATAGCTCAACAGATTTGCCATGTAAGTATGATTCCATGTATAAATATTACATAAACATTTTTAAAATTATTTTTAAGTCATCTGTATATATATATAATTATATTAACAAAACTTGCCATATTAAAAGTGACATTTAAAACGTATAAAATAAATTTTAATTAAGGTACTAAAAATTTTATTGAAGTGTAAATATTCAAATAATCTTTATGACATAACGTATTCTTGTAATAATTTTATAGGGTATGAAGTATCTTCATTCTTGTGATTTAATACACAAGGATCTCAGGAGCAAGAACGTATTTGTAGAAAAGGAAAAAATTGTAATAACAGATTACGGTCTGTTTAACATTACCAAAATGTGTCCTGGAAACAGGTAAAATTATATCTTACAATATAAAATTTATTCCTGTTAAATAAATTATATATTGTGACATTTAAGATAAATTGCTTTCGTGTAAATATTTAGCAAAGGGGAACCATTAAATATACCACCAGGTTGGTTATGTTACTTGGCACCTGAAATTATTCGACAACTAAAACCATTGAATTTGGATCAGGATGAGATACCATATTCATTTAATTCTGATGTTTATGCATTTGGGTTAGTATTTTTACGATATTTAAGTCTCCAATTCCAAGTTCATCTCGAAAGCTATGAAATATAATATATATAAATATTTACGTAATATAATATAAAATGATAAAATATTGGTTTGTGTTAGAAGACATTATTTCTTGTAATTAATAAATGACGATGTATAAATATATATGTATCTTTTTAAAATTGTTGTTATTTGTTTGAAGAAATAGTGTACTCTAATACAAACAATTATTTTACCATTTTTTATTATATAATATTATGTAAATCTTTAAATATATATTATAAATTAATAATAACGAAAGATTTTAAAAAGATACTTGTTGATAGGACTATCTGGTATGAATTATTGTGTAATGAGTGGCCCTTTAGAGGACAACCTCCTGAAGCTGTTATTTGGCAAGTTGGAAAAGGAATGAAACAATCTTTATCATATTTACACGCTTCCCGTGAAGTAAAGGTATGTATGAGTTTAAAACATCTGCATATTTGTGCAATCTAATGATTTGTTCATAAATTCTGTATATTATTTTATGCGCTATTTACAAAAATTATGGAAATTTTACAATTTTTTATAGGATATTCTAATGTATTGTTGGTCATACCATGCAAAGAACCGTTTTGACTTTGAAGAGATAATATCTCTACTCGAAAGGCTGCCTCGCAAAAAATTAGCGTGTAGTTCCTCCAATCCAACTTCTACTCTTTCTGCAGAATCTATGTTTTGAATATATTTATTTAAATATGCTGTTGTTCTCTTATAAATGTAAATATATAGAATCATTGCCAGATCTTTGTTCAAGAAAAATAAAATAAAAATCACTAAAAGATTCGCGCTTGTTTGTATTATTAATTGATTAAAATGAAAGAATACAATAATTATAAAAATGTTAAATTGTTGCGAATTAAATACATATCGATTTTTGTGAATGGAATCGTAATATTAAAATCTCTCTCTTTATCAAGAGATATGTATATATCTATGACTTATATTTGTTAAATATATATGTAAATATCTTTTGTATCAAATATATATAAAATCTACAAATATATCTGTAAATAAGTAATATAATTTTCAAAACAAGCATTTTTATATATGTATTATAAAACAGCTCTTCAGTGCACATTTTAAGAAATACATATTGATTGTACTTTCATTTTCGTAGGTAATCTTACTCAAAATAGGCGATAGACAAATTGTTTTAAATAAATTATGTATTATAAATAAAAGTAAATCAGATAATTATATATTTATATCAGTTATAATTATTAATTATAACAAAATAATACAACTAGAAACAACTTCATTGTTGCTTGTTTTCTATGATATTAGTTGTCTGTCTATTCTCTTGTTATATTTTATGTAGTATTGTAGCTATTCATGACTAATGATGTCTTTCAGTCCGTATACGTTGATTAAAGATCAATAATAATAATTTATTTTATTTTTCTTCAATCAATCGTCGTGCGTGCGAAAAGTGAGAATATTGACTCAATCATCTCAAATTCGTGTGTATTTTTATATATAACGAATAATCCCACAAGTAACAACATATAAATAAATTATTTGTTTTACGTATATAACTTCTTTGCTATTACCTGACATTTCCAAGCTTTCCTTTTCCTCTTTTTTTCTTCCATTGTTTCTTGAAGTTTTCAGACTTTATGATTATACTTTATGACGAGTTAGATGCTAGATGACTTGATCTATTATCTTATTCGATTGATATTCTAAACATTAATGACCAAAACTTTTATTTGTTATTTCAAATAAGTGAGAATACAAATAGTAGAAAGTATATATGCAACAAAACATTTTTATTATATCATATATATGCTCTCGAGATGTAATGCTTTTTGTTTATTTTGATAACACATTTTAAAAAATATAAGTATACGTGTGCGTGTGTTGTGTGTGTAAAATCCTTTAATGTGTGCGCGCGCGTGCACACAAAACTTGTATTTAAATATACATTCACATATTGTATACATATTTCGTTGTCACAATTCTTGTTAAATCTGGAAATTAGGCATCATGCATATCGAATACATTATTTAAATAAATAGTCAATTTTAATTCAGTAATGAAATATTTATTTTTCATCTAAAACCTTATTTTTATTACGTAAGAGCTTTATCATTTAAGGGAAAATGAATTATTCATTTACCATTATTGACTCTGTAAATGTTTTTTATCCGTTGCACATTTTTTGTAATTCTTGTAGTTGTCTTCGGAGATGTATGGTACGTAATTTATTTAACGCTATTCTTTTTTCAAACGTTTGTACCAAAGGCTTTGTAATGATATCTGTTATATGAACCAACGCACGTGTCCTGACTGCAAACAAAAATTAATTTATGGTATTTATTAACTTTTATCAGACATTAAAAACTATTATTAAATTACATATTTTTAATTTATATATAAAATATGTAATAAAGAATGATATACACACCAGCGTCATTGTGAATACTGGCGAGGACATCTGGATGATCTTTACAGGCTTCAGCCATATCTTCTTCTTCTTGTACCAAAATTTTTGACAGATCTGTCATTGTCTGCAACATTATTTACTTTCAAATAGAGTTGCTTTACACATTTTTCTATATTAATATAAAAAAATCACAATCTTACCCTTAAACATCTGTCTGAAATGTCTGGAGTATGTACTATCTCTAATGGTATCTCTGTAGCTTCACCATTGTCTGATTGAAAACAATTTAAGAAGATCTCGTGTTCCTTTGAAGTAAACAAAATCATTATTATATCATTTATCTACTATTATAATCTATCTACATCAACAACTTTAAATTATTCTATAGACCACTGGTCACATAAGTTATACATATATTCAGAAGTTTATTGACAATATTAATTTACTATTAGATAAAATGATTTTCTTTTTTCTCTCTCGATCACATCAATGACTGTAAATTTTGTTTGTTGATGCAGAAATTAGGATAAGGAAAATATATGTACTTTTGATTCTTTGCCCTCTGAAAATACTGAGAATATTAAGCCAACAAAGCTGTGATCCATTGTTTGGTAAGTAGCTTGAGTTCTGACATCTGTAAAACAAAAATAATTAAATGTGAAGTAAAAACTGTGAATGCAAATTATATTACTCAAACGTTTGGACAAGAGAAACATTTGTAATACACACCAACGTGTGATGGGCAAACTGTAATATGTGGATGAGAATGATACCAGCCAAGGACGCGCATAGGTCGTTTTAATTCTGCGGTTAATCGTTCGGCTTCGGCAGCGGCTTTCAGTAATTGCTCCGATGATATCTCTACTCTGTCTTTCTTCTTATCTAGACGTCGCAAAATAATAACAGCTGATATTTTTGCTACTCCACAAGCAAACTAAAAGGGGGATAATTAATGCTGTGATTGCCTCGTCAATTGTACAAGAAATAATAAAGAAATGCCCGAGCAAAAAAGTTCCACGTACATTACCGATAAGTAAGCCCATCACTTCAAAGTTCTCCGTGGATAAAGCATGCTGCAGACAGACCATATAGACGTCTGTTTGCAGCTCCACTTTTTGCAGTGGAGAGTTGTCCATTGTTCACGAGGATATTGTGATTCTACGGAAATAAAATATACATAGATGTGAATAAATTCTCGATTGCTGAAGCTTACAGTCGCATTTGAGATTTTGCAAGTAACGATCTGGTTTGCTTAGAGGTTTCCAAAGCGAAAATATAGTGCGAATGTAATTCAAGCGATAGCATATAATTGAATGATTTTGGTGCAGCATCGATAATTCAAAGCCATCTTCCAGGGGTGGACAATTACCCCAAGTAACGAGATGACGTCAAATGACGTTTCAACAACGTCTCATTGACATTAGAGACGCTATTAAGACGTCACCCTGCTACTTGGGACATTATCATGATAATTATCCATCCCCAGTAATTACCACTATCGTCGAAAATACGTTTTATCAAAAGTGCTGTTCTTCGAAGGAGACGCTCATTCTAAAAGTTTATCTCCTTTAATAAGGCAATTGTATGAGATGACGTGAGACGGTAATTTATGTATAACCTACACCCACTTCTGAATAAGTATTGACGCCCACGGTATTATACGCCGGTTTTAACCGACGTTAAATTGGGCGTACGTACAACGTACATGGCCCAATTTCGAGTCACATTATTTTTTTTTTCGTGCGGTGTCACTTAAACTGGTGTATCCAGCGCGCGTTACTTGCACGGTCTTTCGAATGGGCTGTGCTTTCCGTTCGGCGAAAAACAGTACCAGCGGACGGCGAATCGACGATCCTGGAGTCCAGGGTAAGCGACAAGTTATATATAGGTACACCCGTCTAAGGCGGCGTTATCCAAGGGCCAGGCGCGGGTGACGCGGGTCAACAAAAATCTTTGCTCTCCCTCGTCAAGTCGGCTCCCCGCATTCCTCCCGCTCCCCCCCGGTTCAACGATCCTTCCAATCCTCTCCCTCGTCCGTCCTCGCCGTGTTGACCTCTTTCACTTCGCCACCCCCGCCGCTCACGGTGGCGTCGAAACTGCGCGAGCTGCTGCGAATAGGGATTAATCGGCGATTTATGCACGGATTCACGAACGAGCGATACTTATTTCGCCGGACGAGCGAGCGTCGCGACACTCGAGATGAGGCGCGGGAGCACAAGGAGTCGCAAGAGTGAAGACTAAAAAAAAAAAAGAGTGAAGAGTGAAGAGTCCTCGGATTCCTCGGAATCAGCCGGGAATCCCCGGTCGTGTTAACGTGGGATAAATCAAACCGCGCTCCCTCTCTCCTCTCTCTCTCTCTCTCTCTCGCTGTACGCCACGCGCGACGTCGCCGTGAAGAGCTAGTCAGCTGTGGCAAAGATCAATTTCGCTCGATCTATATGTCGTTATTTACATTTGGCAGGTTTGTGCAACGCAATTATATACGTCAATTACATCGCGCGCCAGGGTTTCGCCGCGACGGCCTCTGACGCGGTTCGTTACGCGCGTGTATGTGTGTACACTGACTCACTGTATTACTTACCCTTGATCGCAGTCCCACTTTTGAGTTCAATCAGAGGTGGTGTGAGAAGTGGCCTGATGCGCGCACCGCCTCGCGCGATGCTCGCAAATAGTTTTTTGTTATCGCGTGGCGGGGCGACGTCGGCAGCGTTTGAGGTTATGTCTTGTCGCAGCGGGCAGGGTAACAACTGGCGATGACCGAATCATGTAGCTCGAACTCAGTGACAGTACGCGAACTCATGAATTACATTGTCCCGTACAGCGTGACGCGGAAGCCAACGACTGGAGCAGCGTGGAACACGTCGCGCAATGGTAGACGATCGTGCGCCCGTTAACGCGGAAAATAGATACCGTGCTGTGAACGCGGATCAGGACGACGACGACGACGACGACCGGGGCGAGACGCGCGTGAAGGCCGCGACGATGCCGTCGGAGTTGAGGTCGATCAGCGCGGCCGACTGGGCCACAGTCGCGGTCCTCTGCTTCGTGAATCTCATTAATTACATGGACCGCTTCACGGTCGCCGGTGAGTCTCTCGCTTCGTTTTATGATAACTGTCAAATATATAATTCTGAGAAAGAATTAATGTTTTTGATTAATGAAATATCGTAAGTGATTTCCTGAAAATAGGAAATATTTCTCTCGGCTTATTTATTAAAAGAAAAAAAAAATCAATCTCACTTTAGGCGTACTGACGGACATCAGGCATGACTTTGATATCGGCAATGGTAAGTCTGGGCTGCTGCAAACAGCGTTCATTCTGAGCTATATGATATTCGCGCCGTTATTCGGATATCTAGGAGATCGTTACAACAGGAAACTTATTATGAGCGGTGGCGTATTTCTATGGTGCCTAATGACGTTCATTGGTTCTTATATGAAAGCAAGTATACCTTTCTTTACACGGAATGAATCTTATACTCAATGCAATGATCAGATGTACGAATCTTGTGTTCAATTTCTGTTAACTAAGAAATGCGTTAACACATCTAATTTTGTCATGCCCGATAATGTGTCAATATGCGGCACATGTTTTATGTGTAATATTTTTAATTTTTTCAGACATATGAATGGTTCCTATTCTTTAGGACACTTGTTGGCATAGGAGAGGCCAGTTACTCTACAATTGCGCCAACAATTATTAGCGATTTATTCATAAAAGATGTACGCTCTAAGATGCTCGCCCTATTTTACTTTGCTATTCCAGTTGGAAGGTACATTGGTTACGGGATGCATGATGAGAGATTATACGTTTCCCAATACTTATATGTATGTATATTATTATTTTAGTGGTTTAGGGTATATTACTGGAGGTGAAACAGCCCGTGTTACCAGCCACTGGCAATGGGGATTACGTATTACTCCTATATTAGGAATTGTAGCGATTATCCTGTTACTGACTGTAGTAAGAGATCCCATCAGGGGCGAGCGTGAAGGGGGTGCTCATTTGACTAGCACCACATGGTCGCACGATGTCAAGGAGTTATTAAAAAAGTAATTATCAACAATATATTAATATTTTTTTCATTGAAATGATTACAATGACTTGTGTGGGATTCATGTTCTTTTATTTATTAATACTTAATTATTTATTAATACTTTTTTACCATAACAGTGATCTATGTCGTCTATCCATTACTAATTGTTCTGATAAAATGGTACACAAATTTTATATGATAGAATTATCAATTGTTTCATGAATAAACGACATACTTGGCGCGAGACGCGCTACCGCGTCTCCTGATTATCTGTCAAGATATGAGACTCAGATAATGCATGACCGATAATAGAATATGTACATTAAAAATATACACGTACTGTTATGCCTAGGTCATCCAATCTGTTTTTTTTTTATTATGCGATACGCAATTTAATAAAATTTAATTAAACTTTAATTATCAATTTCTAATGAATTTAAATGAAGGCCGAGTAATACATCACTATTGCAATGCATAGTGCTAAACTATAGATGCTAAACGACGATAAATGTTGATTTTAAATGCAGAGATGCTCGAACTTCACTATATTACTGTTTCTGATAATTTGTAGTTAATACTATATTTCTTATATTATTGATATGATTTTCAGTAAAAGCTTTATGCTGTCTACTGGAGGATTTACTTGCGTAGCGTTTGTCACTGGTGCGCTGGCGTGGTGGGCGCCAACATATCTACAATTAGGTTTCCAATTACTTCCTCATGGAGCAAAAGTTAATCCAGACGAGTACGTTTTTTAAGTATTTGTGTAGTATGTTTATTGCAGCAAAAAAAATATAATTATATAATTGTTACGATGTTTCAGTGTTGCATATAAGTTTGGATTAATTGGTATGGCATCTGGTCTAATAGGTGTACCATTAGGCTCTACTATAGCACAAAAATTACGAATTCGCTGGCAGCAAGCTGACCCTCTGATATGTGCCGTAGGTCTTTTAATAAGCGTTCCTTTATTATTCTTCGCTATGATTACTGCCAGTACAAATCCTTCTCTTTGTTATACATTAATATTCTTTGGTCAGTTGTCATTGAATTTGAATTGGGCTATTGTAGCAGACATATTACTGGTGAGTGACATATTTAAAAATATATTCAGCTCTATGATTTGTTTATTTTAATTAATTTATCTTTTATGCAGTATGTTGTAATGCCTACGAGAAGATCCACAGCAGAGGCATTCCAAATACTCATTGCACATGCTCTTGGAGATGCAGGCAGCCCTTATCTTATTGGACTTGTATGTAGAAATAAACTTGTTGCTAATCTATCACAAATTAATTATTAATTTATTAATTATTAATTTTTTTTAGATATCGGAAGGATTAAAGTCCACGTTCTTGCCGGATTTAGGTGTAGGAGGACGAGCTAATATTTATGACATTGAAAAGATAACTGTCGATTTCCGTAGCCTACAGTATGCAATGTTCCTTACAATGTTTGTAGAAGTAATTGGTGCTTTATTCTTCTTCCTGACAGCATTGCATATACAAAAGGACAAGGCATTAGTTGACCTTGCTATTGCGGGTGAGTAAAGAATATGTCCAATATTAGTTAAATCGATATTTAGATAACGCACTGTGTTTTGCATGTTTACAATTGAAATTGTTACTAATACAGCTTAATACACATGTATACTAATATTAATAGGAATATCGTTATAAACTTATTTTTATGGACAATATAAGTATAAATATAGTTTTTGCAAGAGTAATTTTTTTATATGTAGTATCAAATATTATATATACATAAACACTATTAAGCACAGAATCAAGACAGTGTTCACACATTATTCGGTAAGTGTAATGCATAGATTGACATGTTGAATAATCAAAGGTGATTAATTATTAACACATATCACATTAATTGATATCACATTAATAAATTAACATATATACCATACATATATAACATATATTACCCCTGTAGTCTAGGTCTGGTTGGAATGTGAAATAAAAATTTGCAACTCTACTAAAATTATATTCTGTTTTTGCACAGTGCATGCATTATTCGCAACTTTGGATTTACAAGCACAAGCTTTGGGACCAAAAAAAAGGTAGTATATCTACCTTAATTATTTATGGTATCGTTTAACACGTTAAACGCCAAAAACTTTTGTTTACTATTGAAAAATATTGTGTAATACATAAAAATATATATATGTGTGTATATATATATATATATATATATATATATATATAATGTAAAAGATAAATATAAATATAATGAAATAAAATATATAAGAAATATTTTATAAAATTGCAAAGATAATTGGAAAAATAATGTTTATTCATTATATTTTATTTATTTTGTATGTACTTAATATAAATATAATTTTTGTACTTATAAAATTAATAGTTTTTTAATTTAAAAATTACAAAGATATTTAGGTAGTTTCTCAAAATAATATTAAATAATATTAAATATAAAATTATTTTTTTTTATAATGTAAAGTTTATAAATATTTTTATATTTTTTCAAAATTTTGTATTTACGTGGCGCTTAACTTGTTAAAATTCAAAATTTTTAAATATTTATTTTTTATTATGATTATTTTATATGTAATGATTTTGAATGTTCATGATATAGTATTGAATTTTTATTTTATGTTCCATCAAAATATTAAAGATACCTATGTACTTATAATATATAAATCTCTTTTAATACTAGAGATATCCGATATGTTTTTGAAAGCAATTAATTTATTTATTCTGTTATCAATTTCCCTATTTAGGATATTGATTTATTTAACAATGGTGCTTAACGTGTTAAAGAAAGCGTGAGAATCAAAGATTAATATTAATATAATTATTTTACTATGACTATTCTCAATCCACAAATAATATATTTAAATTTATATGCATGCTTGTCATATGTCTTACAAATTGAGAAATAGTTTTTTCTCCTATTATCTTTTTATATTCATTTTTAACTTGTTATGCATGTAACTTTTTTAAATGTTATTTTACATAATTTAATTTGTGCCTTTATTCATTATTATTTATAATAAAAAGTGCAATTCTATATATTTTTATTAATAATTCTATGTTTTGATAATTCTATCTTAAAATATGTATATTGAATTTATCTCCTCTCATAAATCTTGACAGGATAGTTGAAACATTCCACATACATTGCTATAGGCATAAGAAAAGCTTTGTTCTTTTTATTTCTTTAAATTCATTGACACAAGTCATATAAAAAATTATATTTTTTAAAATAATAAAACAATTTTATATATATTTTTGTATTATGTCTAAAAGTACATGTTGGAATTTCTATAATATATTATATGTTTTGTATATTTTTTATACATTTTTTATATGTTGTGCAATTTATTTATATTTTAGTATTTCAGTGTTGGACTTAAATAAAATAATTATTGGTTTACTATTTTTGTTATAAAAATACTTTTCAGAAATGGGATTTATATTTATAAACAATACATGGTATAGTCACATGGTTTAGTCTGGAATGTGTGCATGTAGTTATTTTTATATAACATACAAATCTTTCTTACAGACAAATATCTAGATACTAAGAATAATGGGCAAGCTGAATCAACGCATTTATAGATCATCACTGGGCCTTCCCTGATAATATGCTGTATATCTGGTACATAATTTATTTCCATGATTTCATTATTCTTTTTTTTATTTGATAATCAATTTAACCTGGTTTTATATAAATAGCAATAATTTTCCATTCTGTAATACTTTTTTTATGTCCACATATATATGTACAATATGTTAATGAGTTAATTTAAACAATATTTTAAAAAGAGACGCATATATTGGCATATATTTAAATATATATATAATACGTGTTTGTTAAATTATTTTATAGAGATATGGTCAGTACATAAATTAAATTTTGTAAAATTTAATCAATATTTTTGAATTATTTAAATATATTGTATTTTTGTATTACATTAATTAATAATTCTCTCTATAATAATTAATGTGATACAAAAATACAATATATTTAAATAATTCAAAAATATTGATTAAATTTTACAAAATTTAATTTATGTACTGACCATATCTCTATAAAATAATTTAACAAATTTAGTACAGTAAAATATGGAAATTTTTACATCTTATTTGATAAAGAGATATATATATACATATATATAGTTGCTATTTCTATTATTTATAATTATTGTATCTATTCTTAATTTTTGAAATCTTTATTGAAAATTTACGAAAATAATATCTCTTTATAATATCTCTTTATCAAATAATGTAAAAATTTCCATGTTTTACTGTACTAAATTGTTGAAAGGAATTAAATTTATTTAAGAAATATATGTCAATCGATTTTATAAAGAAAATTTTGTGTATTTTTACGTAATTAAATTATTTATATATAAAACGCAATTAAACAATTAAATTGATTATTGATTATCGATTATCATTTCATACTTTTTATATTGGGTTTTATAAATTATTATAGTTTCAGTTTATAGTTTCTAAAAATAATTTTTATCTTTTCTATTATTTTGTTTTATATTTTGTAAGAATGCATGTTTCAAAGCCAGGAATATGAAGCTTTTTTGTTATTTTTTTGTTATTTTAGTTATTTTTATTGCCTTCATTTTCTCCATGTTTTGCCCATGTCACAAATGGAAATTGTAACTCATGAGATAATTAAATATTTTCTGTTATTATTGTTTATATATTTAAACACTTTAACATTAGATATTATAAAATTTATATATAAGTTTATTTAAATAAAATTATGTCTTTAAATAGTTACAATACGGACAAAATGTAGCTTGATATTCCTATTATTAGAATTAACATTAACACTTAAGAAATAGATGTTTACAAGTATTTATTGATTGGAATGGAAAAATCATATTGTACAAATACTTACAACAAAATTTCATATTAAAGTAATATGATATTATCTTTTAGACTGATGAAGCTTGCCTATAGATCTATGTGTGGAATGTAACACAACTAATAGATTTTACGTATATTTGTGGGTGTATGTATGGACATGATACAATAATGCATGTATGTTTTCACGAACTGAATCGAGATAGTGTGAACGTATAATCAATTTTACTAATGCTAAATATATGTATAATTACATTATTTGGATTATAATTTTATTTGTCTATATGTTTTGCTTTACAAATTTATCAATAATTTGTATAAATATTGAAAATTGAATAGATGGGATTTCAAGAGCGTTACGCACAAATTATGCTTGGTGTACAATATTATTATTGCTATAAAAATTTTAACATATAACAGAGTTGGGTTTTAGCATTCTAGCTTCAAGTTGCTTATGTATATCTGTTGTCGTTGAATGTACATTGGTTGTGTGTGTACTCCACTGTTTTTTACTACTTTAGAAATCTTACCATATCCTGTCATTATTATATCAGGAACATATAACATATAACATATGTTGTACATAAGTCATATTAGGAACAAGGATTTTCTTTATGTGTAATATCAATTATTTAAATATATCTTAATACTACTATTTATAATTGAAAAAATGTATAATATATATATTTTATATTTAGGAATTAACTTAAAGACATGGGAATTTTTTAAAATAAATAATATAATCTTATGACATATATATAATCTTATATAATACAATAGCGCATATTTATATGTATAATATATATTATCATATATCTATAAATTAGTATTATGTATTTAGCTGCAGTTTTTCTCTATCTGGATTTGCATATTATAAAGTATGGTATATTAATTTAATAATTTATATCATTTTCAGGTGGAAGTCTTTCAGATTCCGTATGTATTTGCAACGATGCAGATAACAGCGAATTACAAAATGATGCAAATACTATATTAGAATTTCATAGACAAGGAGAATCGTCTGACTAAATTTTTGTAGGATATTAATAGGTTAAATAAGCTATGAACGTATTACGAATGTACAGTATGATTCTATGAAACATAAATATTGGTTTGATATTATATTATAAAAATATATTAGCGATATAGGGATACATGTATTATATGCAAAATGTATTTGCAAAGAAAGTTTTGATGTAATTCATAATGAAGAATACCTTCAGAAAGATAGTTACCAACTGTTAATAATGTACAATACGTTAAATTTTTAAACAATGGAACTCTTAAAATCTGGATGAACATTGCATATATAAATTGTACAATATTTTTAAATATTATATTTTTATATGCAAATTCATGTAACGTATTATGAAAGCATTACATAATATTCGTAAATTGTATAGATAATCTGTACGATAAGGTTGTATTAGTAAATAATTTAGATAGTATATAAGTATTTTGATTGAGTGTAAACAATTTAATTTATCGATTTACATTCGTAAGTTTCAGCTGCTTTAGCATTGAACTAAAAATATTAATAATTGTATGATTTTTCAAAAGACATTTTTCAACAATTACTATATGAATATAATTTTTTTATTTGTAGTAATTAATTATTACTATTATTACTATTAAGGTATTATTTAGATAAGTCAGAGTGTAGATACAGATATTTCAATAATCATAAATAGAATATATCGTATTTTTTCTCGGAACATTAAAACATTTTTGGACATTTTTTTAGAAATAAAATATTTATTACAATTATACAATATTATATAATAATACATATATATATATATATACTAATACCAAACATATATATATATATATATATATATTTATATTGATTTTAAATAATCAATATAAATATGTTATAAATTATTTTAGATTTGCTTTTATTCTCTTTTAATATTTATATCTAATCAAACAAATATATATATATATATATATATATATATATATATAAATATTCTATTATGTAAAATGCATCTTAGAACATTAATAAGATATTACAAGTTAAATCAAATCTATCGAAAAAAATATATATTTTATGATTAAATATTTACGCCTATATATTTACATAGAAAAAAAGTATGCATAAAATTGATGTAAAATTAGTATCGAACTAGTATCAAATAAAATTATAAAATCTATGTTAGACTGATTAACTCCAATTTTTAAAAAATAAAAAAAAAATTGAAGTCGCAAACGAGGAACTACTATTGTTACAAGATTTTATAGCACTCAATTAACAATAAGTAAACCACATGATAAAAAGTAGTTGAACCATATTATTTTAGCGCAAGATGGCAGTACTTATGTATAAAATAAGAAATTATGGACTGTAGAATTAATCTGCATTTGATAATACTTCAATTAAAAAACAAAGAAATTGTATTTCGTTATGTATTATGCAAATGAAATTGTTTATATACAGATATGTGTAATAATATAACAATTATGTTTTTCACTTAAAGATGATTTTGACTTGAAGAGAAGTTTATCTCGCACGAATTATATAAATTGTAGCCCGTAATTGTAATTCATAGATTAATTTTTTGTCATATTGTCTCATATTTCTATTTTTCTTTTTATATCGTTTTATTTTCAAAAATAAAGTTGAATATATACATATAAGAAACAATTAAAAAAAATTAAGAAATTTCAAAATCAATTTTCTACTTTTGAAAATGAGCAATATTTTACAGAAATTCCAAGCAATTAAAAATAAATTTTTTGTAGGAACTTCGTAAAAGCACATTTATCTCGCTTTATTTTATTATTTGCGGATTCATGTTAATGAGCTTTTAAATAGTACAGATATTAACTCTAAACAATTGTCTGATCATTTTATTGGGTCACCCTGTATACGCTGAATACACTATCGTGTAGCCAGCATCATGTAGCGTGTGCCTGCAGGCCGCGGTTGTGTTACAAATAAGCAGGCAAAGTCGGTATTTTTAATGGGAAGTCGAAGACAGCCTGAATAGAATGAGCTATCGGAGAGGGAAGCGACACTCGGTTTCTTTGATCAATAATGAAACTTCTCTTCGCCTTTCTTCTTACTGTCTCTCCTCCCGTTTTCTTCCTCTTTTTCTCTCTCATTGTCTTTGCTCATTTTCCATCGGTCTCTCACTCTCGAGCCTCGCTTTCTCACCCCCTGCGCTTACGCATCTCCCTAGCCGCTGTCTTATCTTATACATTTTTAACCCTTATTTCGGCCCCCCTCCCCCGCGTAGACAAGGAGAAAGGCTCAAAGCGAGAGAGCCAAGTTTTAACAACCCTTAAGATGTACCTCCAAGGCCACCGGTCCTCTTTTCTCTATAGATAATCCACTCGGCGATCCGTTCGCGCATGAGCCTCTATGAAAAAGGACTTGATAATCTGCATCCTTTAAGGAGCAGCCTCGAATCGGCCTCGAGGAAACAAGAAATTTGGATCTCCGGAGATTTCCTTAGGGGTCAATAAAAATATTAAGACTTCATTTAATAGAGGCGATATATCATATTTATCGAAAAATTCTTTTAGATAGAAATTTCTCGATGCATTATTAACTGATCGAAGCTTAAGAAAAATTTAATGGATAAATGTTATTCTTTACTTTTCCAATTTTTAAATAATCACTTTAGCAAGTAATATTTATATAAAGTTTTTGATAAGCTTTTTGTTATCAAGAAACATAATTTTGTCGTGTTTATTAATATAATTTACAGATGGTCAAAAAATAATTTACAATTGGTCAAAAAACTTTTCAATTAAAATTTGATGAGAACATTCTAATTAAAATTATCTGATGAGATAAAAGTACGATATTGTGTAGATATTTAAAAACGACAATTAATTAATTAAATATTTTTAAATATTTTTTGCTACTCTTGATTGTGGACATTTTTGTTAAATATATTTAATTATAGCATTTTTACAAGTCGTTTTATTTTATGAAAGATTTAAATATAATATTGTCAAGATTTTTATTCTTATTCATTTCTTATTCGATTTTATCCAAAAATAGTGAGGAAAATAAGCTTTATCCCAATAAATTAATAAAGATCAATTTAAATGAATATGTATCATAAAAACATAGAAGTATGATGATAATCTAAGTATATCCAATGTATAAAATAATGTTACAAAATATTGACATTTTTGACGACTTGACAATTTTTCAAACGTTCGTTTGTAGCAAACGAAGCTGTCGAGCAAGACCGACTTTTCGTCGTCCCTCCGCAATTTTTCCGAACAGCCCCGTGTCCAATGATGGGGACAGTGGAACATGAAGCAACACTGAGAGGGGGAACATCAGGGTGAGCTTGGCACAAAGAAAAGCGCGGGGGCGAGGGATGAGGGAGGCTGCCGCGGTGCGGGATAATGCTTAACAAGCCGACTTGAAAGGACAGCCGCCATTTTGAGTCAATACTTGAAAGTCTTTGCTCATTAAGAATATTTTACGTCTACCTTCCACACGCTACGCGACCGACGTCGCTGTTGCCTCCCTATAACCGGCGCCATCTCCTCTCTTTCTTCTTTCTCTCACCCCCGCGTACGGACTTTCTTTTTCTTTTCGTCCTCTCTTGTCCTCGGCTTCGAGAGTCGTCCTCCTGCTCCTCCTCTTCCTCCTCCTCCTCCTCGTCCCTTTCTTTCTCATCATCCTCCTTCGCCTCGCGCAGGGGCGGCTGCACCCTCGAAGATGGAAGTTATTTACGCGGTACTCGGAGCACGCTCTACCATCGCGACCCCGTAGCCGACCCTCATCCCCGGCGTTTCGATCTGGTCTCCCCTTTGCCACGCTAACACGGTGCCCCCGCCTCATCGCTCTCGCCCTCGCCCTCATCGGGCATGCAGCAGCCACTGGGCAAGGAGGGTGGCCAGCGCCAACCTCGCATCCCCCGTTCTCTCGACGAGGGATGGAGAAATCTCCGACTTCGCTATGGGGGCCCACCTTCGCGCGCCCTTCCAGCAACGGCGGGTAAACACCGTCCCATCTCGCGGCGTTTTTCCTAATTCCTACCCAATTTCGCTTTTAGCATTTCAATTTCTGCCTACCTCCCTCCTCTTCCTCCGATCTCCCCTGTCCGCCGCGTTGGAATGACGGATTATCGTCGGACGAGCGAGGGCTCGATGGGGAAGAACCCTGTGGGCGGAATAGATGAGCGAAAATGACGAATAGCTGCACACGATGGATGAATGTTTATCACGAATCTGGGACAAGTCTCTTAGGATCTAACGTAATAGCAATTTCATCCGTTTTGTTGATGACGCGCACAATTATATTGTACTTGCATGACAAACGATTTCTCTTACTTTGTAAGTTTTGAATTTTGTATTTGCGAAACAGTTATATATGAAACAAATGGCAAATTAATAATTTCTTATTTACAAAAGATTTCTCAAGTACATACAAAAATATTGATAGAAGATTTTATATTATTTTATATGATTAATATTTTATATTATATGATTATATTATATGATAATCATATAATATATGATATATTATATGATTATTAATATAAATATCTGGACATCGATATAGATTTTTGTATCATACGTAGGTTCAGAGACAGTTAAATATTATCCAGAAAAAATATTATATATATACATATATATATATATATATATATATTAATAAATATATTATATATATAGGTACATATATATATATATATATATATATATTATAGATATATGATAAACAATTTTTTTATTTGTCAAGAAAAAACACAGAGTACATTTTATTACGATACACTTTAATTATTGTGATACATAGTTATGATTTTATTAGTGACAGTTGTATAATGACATTATATTAAAATTTTTCAAAAATTTGCTTCTTTATTTTTAATAGTTATATACATTAGACTCCTCGGTGAGTCATCATCCCTTATATTGCATATATATCTCTCGCCCATCGTGTTTCATATTCATACGTGTCAAATAATTCACCGTGTCCAGGACGAAATAATTTCCTCGTCACAAAACGCTTCCGCTAGTTACGGGGCAATGATTCATATCCGTAACCGTGCCTCGCGCAGAGCGCTTTTTAAATCGTCACGAGGTTTTTTTTCAGTTTTGCCTCCCCGCGAGTCCGTGCCGGAAAAACAATGGAAGCGTGATGTTCCCGCGCGTGAAGACGGGGGGGGGGAGAGGGGGGGGTTAGCGTGGAGCACGCGCGGGGCAAAGGGGTAACTGCGAAAATAAATCAGGCCCTGTACCGACGCGGCGACGTTTCTCGTTCAATTGTATCAACTTTAACCCCTTCATTGTCTCATTTTTTTCTCGACTATCGTTCTGTTCTCGCGCCGTTTGACCGGATTCGTTCGACCCTCTAGCTTCGCTCCTTTCTCCGCGACGCGCACAGCGAACCGGGTTCGAAGCTTGCCCGTGCGAACAATCGGCGTGCACAAATGGAACGCGTTCGAAAACGCATATATATATATAATAAGCCGTAAAGAGACAGAGAGCGGCGAGATAGAGATAGAGAGAGAGAGAGAAAGAGAGAAGGAGAGGACGGCAGAATGAAACAAAAACTGGTCTCGCTATATAAAACAATAGGGGGTTCCTCCGACGGGGATGTGAGAACGCGAGCGAAAGATCGGGAGAGAGTAGTGATTGAGAGAGACAGAGAGAAAGAGAGAGAATGTAAGCAGCGAGAGACCAGAGAGGAGCAGCAACCCTATCGTGCGCGGTGCGATGTGTGTGAAATTCAAGAACCTGTAGCGC